AGGGCAGCTGAGGTTGGCGGAGCTCAGTTCTCTATGTCGAAAGCATTCGCTAAGGACAAGGAAAGTGCGCAGTTGGCTCGGTGGAGGCAGCGAATATTACCCAGCGAGGTTTCCAGAAGTGACCTTGTGAAGGCCTGTAAATTCCTACTGAAGTGGCTCAATTTTATCATTTCGCAGCTTCTGAGAATTCACGCGTGTTAATCTCTTAGTTATTTACAAGCGAGAGCAACCTGGGAACGTGCAAAATGCCTCTTCCAAGCCGAACAGAGCGTGAGAAGACCATGCATTTCTTCAGGAACTTCCGTATAATTTATGATCTAGACACGTTGGCGTCTTTTCTATAAGAGGGCTTCTTAGAAATAATTTGAGACAAATTTTCATAAATTTAAATAATTCAGGATTGCCAGACGCTGACACATAATTGGCTTGTTTATATACGCGATCTAATAATCTCTACCGTGAGACCCTAATAATTCCGTTTTTTTTTCAACAACAAAAAGTTCCTTGTTCATCAACAGCTCAAACATTTTCAAACCTGATATTATGTCAACCCCAGTCGTTGAAATAATGGATTTTTCGGTTCAGCTCGGTTTCGGGGGGAGGGAGCATTTTGCATCTTCACTATTTCCCGTCGTCATGTTCACTCCTTACAAGAGTTGACAGGTTATTTTTACAAGAGCTGACAAGTAGAATCTTCAAAGTTCGTCTGGTATCTTTTTATGGCTCTCAAGATTATATAGATCTCTTTACTTGTTGGCTCGACACGCCGATGGGAAGTAGCGAAAGGGCGATGTGCCCCCCCCCCCAAACAGAACTGCGCCTTTTTTTCTTGCCTATTGTAGGTTTATCATTCGCCAGTTCATTGCGACACGCTCGTTCGTTCTGAATCCTTCTCTATTTTACAGCTGTGTGAAAGAAATCAATTCTAGGTCTGCCAAGATTCACTTGGAAGGGCACAAATGTCACAAAATGTGACTCCACCCGTTGATTTGGTGCCCATGCCAATGGTGATCGCCACGCTGACACTGTCTGTGATTGGTGTACTTGGAAATGCTATGGTGATTCTGGCCACCATAATGTCACCATCGCTGAAAAGCCGTTGTAATATTCTGATTTGTATTCTCGCAATCTCCGATTTCTTCGTTTGTGTCTATCTGGTATGTTTATTACTGTCATACAAGATACGGTAGAAATGTTACTGTCATACAAGATTATAAGTTCAGGAAAGCAGGTGGGATACAGTACTCCCGGAAATCGCAGGTGAAAAAATATATCTGCGAAAACAGAGTGGTTTTGCGTGCATTCCCTGCTCCTACGATTCCACTTTTGCGCACAGTTTGGGGTACTGTATCATGAACTACAGAACTACAGTATTGATTCTATGGGAGGACCCATTTTGACTTGGTGTAGACCATTGAAGCTCAGTTATACTTGGTGGGGGCATTCTGATTCGCCCTCTAACTCTTCCAATCAATCTGTTGAGATCTGCAACTCAGCCACAGATCTTTGAAAGTTCCTTGAACTCTCGTGAGGATATGCAGCGGGTGCTTCGTGTGCAGTTGACAGGAATCTGCTGGCCATACCAGGCTGTAACATGACAGAAACTATTAGGTTTTCCGGAAAGTTCTCAGCGTTTTTGATTAAAAACTCATTCTCCCTTGCGTCTCAGTAGTACATCCTGAAGAGAATTTGCGCTATCTGATGGTATAATTGCCGTTTCACCATTGCTTGATAAACCCCCTTTTCCCAAGACTTTTTGAAGCATGTCAAAAGAGCAACTTCGGACGATATTTTCTTCAACTACAAATTGGGTCAATCCGCAGTCGAGACAGCTCGACAAATTAACCAGGTGTGGGGGCCCAATAGTGTTGGAGAAAGCACCGTGCGACTTCTGGAAATTTCAATTGTCAGCTGCAGCCAACACTTGTCAAAGAAAGGGTCCGATTCTTTTGCATGACAACGCCCGCCCACACGTTTCACAAATCACTATCCATAAATTGAACGAATTGGGGTTGAAGTTCTACCTCACCCACCATATTCTCCAGACCTTTCACCAACCGACTATCACCTTTTCAACATTTTCAGAACTCCCTTGCTGGAAAATACTTCATCAATCAGGACCAGGCAAAAAAGCCTTCGTTGGATTTCGTGGATTCTCGACCACCCAATTTTCTCTGATGAGATTTATCGACTGTTGTCACTGCAAAAGTGTGCTGATTCGAACGGTGCTTATTTCGATTAAATCCGATGAGTATTAAGAAAGTTATGATCGTTTAAAGTGAAACACTCAAAACGCTGAGAACTTTCCGGACAACCTAATAGTAAAAGGAACTGCCGAAAGTGCGATATGCCCCTCCCAGCCGAACAGCGCCGAATAGAGAAATCAAAAAAAGCTGACTAATGGTATTTTTCCCGGTTTCACGTAAAGTGATTACATCCCTTTCAGGTTGAATTGCGTATATTGATGCTTCAAAAGTGGTATTTTCGTCCAAATATTGATTGCCGCTCAATGTACAAGCCGGAATGGGTCTTATGTTAGGAGTGGATCGACTGTTAGCTGTTTCACTTCCAGTAAAGTACGTTGTTTGGTTGACTGTACTTTAACGCAGTTTCCTTTTCGTTTCGCCTTTTTCTCAAGATCGTAGTAGTACGTTTGGAGTTAGAATCACTTATTGTTTTCTTCACATAGAAGCGAGATCCCCTACTTACACTTAAAGCGCGTTCATACTTCGCGACCGCACGATCCAATCGAGCGATCCGATAGCACGATCCTGTCAAGCGATCGCAGAGTATGAACGCGTTTTGACTTCGAAGTAGAGAGGGTTGTAGCAGAGAAGGAATTTCTGGGGGAGAAGAGGGGGGGAGGGGTCGTAATCTGCAAAAGCTTTTCCTTGCAGTATGACATACCCTTCCCCCTAAGCTTTTATTTCCAATCAAATTATTACTTTTACTTCTAATTCAATTTTATTTCTAATCAAATTCACATACTCGACAAAATTTCGAAGACTATTTTCTAACGAAAATTTCCAGGTACTCTCGATTGCCAAAGAAGATATACGTAGCTTTGATGTTGGTAGTATTATTACTCGCTACAATTATAACTCTATGTGGTTATGCTGATACATCAGGTGCTTTATTAATCAAATAAACACTATATTAAAAGGATAAAGGATAAAGTCTTCGCCGTTGATCAATCCCTTTGTGGGATGCGGCACGCATTCTACTTCCATTCAGAATCGTAGTGGCTTATTGAATGCGATGTGGCCTATACAATGACTTGCGGTGGCCAGCCGATGTCAGTGTTTTATCCTCCCAGACGAATCTGGTACCAATTTACCGTCCCCGGAGGGTAGAAGGCTTGGTTGGCCTGGGCGGGAGTCGACCCGGGATTTGAACCCGCGCGAGTGGTAAGCGCGCCACTTGTCACTACACCACCTCCGCCTCAACACTACTTTATTAATAAGCAATGCGCTGAGTGAACGAAGTCGACAATTTTGTAGCAGCTGGAGCAGTAATTGCATGATTACGAGAGTTGTGGGAAAAAAATTTATGTAATTCTGTCACTTGCAGACCAGTTACTGCCGGTATGCCTTCCGCCGACCGCTTATAACGAGAAATCAAGACCTGTGTGGGTTGGCTTCAACTTCGTTATCAGCCTTATGGTGATTTCCGTATATGGTGCAGCTCATGTGAAGTGTCCGCAAGCTTAATGGTAATTCTAATGTTTTTTCATAATAAATAATGTACTCAAAAAGACGGGGCGGAAGAACATCTTCATCAAGAGGTTGTTAGGAACAAGCCTAGGAAGCTGAAAGATTTCGTTGCGCTCCTCCTTCAACGAGAGGTAGAAAGGAAAGGCGCGCTTATAGGGGGCACCGTGTCCCTCGTCGAGGAGCGCGCCTCTCTGTTACCCTTTCTGCCCATTAGATTGGACTAGATTGCCGTCAGAGACAAGCTGCACACTCAACTCCGAGAAGTCGCTTGCCATGTCCAAGGCGAACGGGTTCGCAGCTGCAGTAGCGTGCCACTTTCTCCGGAAAAGTGCGCAGGAACAGGTTGGAGCTAAACTAGGTACCGCCTCCATACCCCGCCCGCGATATCTTCAAGGTGCAGCACTTGCATCGACGGCAAGGTCCCACAGCGGACCATGCACACAGCTGTACAGAACATTCTGAAGTGAGAGAGCACAGGCAAGTAGCTCGTCTGGCTACGGATAGGCCTGCGGCCGGTAGTGCGGCACCGCGGGCGGAGTACGGAGATGGCATCCGGAGATCGTTACCCTCCTGACCCGTTCCCGGGCACTCTAGACCAGAGAACTTGGCACGCTACTGTAGCTGTAGATCCATTCTCCCACACACGTTAGTGACCAGGACCCGGTGGGGTGAGTGTGCAGTTTGTCTCCTGCTGCCAGGCAGGCTGAAGGTTTGCATGTTTTGCAGACGATAAGAGACTGTTTCGAGTCCTTGTTATGAATTCATTTTGTGTATTGCCTACGGCTCTGCCTCGCGCTTTGTCATGATGTCGTCGCGAGGTTTTTCCGAGTAATAACAGTAATAGCAAGCAGTAGTAATTGTTTGGTCCTTGTTGCTAGCCTCACTGCTGCTGCTTAGAACTGTCTACTGTGCTCCTATCGCGCACTTTGGACTGTCCTTATGCTATACTCACTTGGTGCCTCCGCTAATGTAGGGTGGGGGACTACTCGGCAGCGTCTCTGTATCCCTTCCTCAAAAAGAGCTCAAACTCTGACAAATTGCTGACCACTGGAGTCGTCGGGTCGTGCTACCGCAGATAATCTCTATTGAGCCTAATCGTAAGTCTCGCTCAGAGGAAGGGATACGGAGGCGCTGGTCAGTGGTCTTCCTCCCCCTCCCCCCCCCGACTACATATGTTAGTGTCTGCTTGCCTTTCCTTCGTCTTAGAAAACAAGAGCTCACCAAAGAAGAATGTGTGTAGGCCTGTACCGGCCTTATGATAATCGCGGAAAGTGT